AACGCTTTTTGTAAAATGTTTGCAGCAAAAATAAATTAATAAATACGTTTTGAATGTATTTTAGCATAGGCTACGCTTTTTTATTTAGGTGAAATATATTTGATAGTTTAAAATAATTTTGTCGTAAATCGTTTGACTTAAATGTATAGATTATAATTCCTATTATGATTCCTATTTTTTATTTTTTTAAATTACCACACGATTTACAGTGTACGCCTATCGAAATGTTAATAATTATATGGACTGTAAAGTAAATAAAAACACTGAACTAAATAAAAACTGATTTGAAGAAAAGGCCCCCGAGCAGAGGAATTTTTCTAAGATGTATTAAAACACTTTCTATGTAAATATTAAACAAACCGAGAGAATGGTTATCATGCTCCTCATCAAATGTGCATTGTGAACATTGGAGTGCTCGGTTTCTCCGTTAAATGAAGGCACACTGTCAATCAGACACTGCTGTTTACACGGTTTTATCTGCGGGAGAAAGTACACACTTGAGCTCTGGAGAGGGGGATTGTGTCTCCATGGCATCGCGTTTCAATAGTGCAGCTATACACTCCTGCTTTGAGACTGTCTCTGTTTAGAGGTTTCACAGTCTTTTAAAAGAAGAGAAGAGCTTAATATCATCTCTCTTTAGCTTAAAGTGCCGATAAGACTTTCAAATGTTGTTATGAAATTATTAGCAAATTTACTTTTGTAGCAATTCTTTTTTAAATATGTGAAGTATTCAAATGCATTAATAATTTGTTAACATATTAGCCTGCCTATTTATTATTGAAGTTATTGTGGAACTGTTGATAATTAGTTGGTATTGTACATGCAAAATGTGTTTTAAATTAGGTCACAATATCCCAAATGCTATGGATAAAAAAAAAAAACTATTTAATGCAAAAAACAAGCAAAACTTAAGAATAAAATAACATTTATTTTTTGCAAAATTTACACAGAGAAATGTACACTTCGCAGCGCTGCAAGGTTTCAATCAACATTCAATCGTTTTACATCTTTTTT